TAGGGACAACTGACAAATGGTAGGGAGCTTTAATAGAATAATGACCCATATTTGTGTAGTGTTCATATTTATACAATTAATTAAATCAACAAAACAAAAACAGTTCATATCACGCAAAAAGACATTCAGTAGAGTCTGTGGAAAAGCAGCAAGCAGTTCTGAATACGACCGGGGTTGGATTTATAAGCTTGGCGTGATATCAAGATATCAAAGAGACACCGTAACGGCCCATTATATGGTAAATAGAGCTCGAGCATGTCGCAGATTTAAGTAACCTACGCACGTCAGGCCTCTGCATGCGGAGCTGTGCTGCCGCAAGCGGGAGGGCCGTCCGAGCAAGTCTTTATCGCGCGATCGCAAATCAGTTGCATGTTTCGAACATGTCTCGCCCGTGTTTATATGCATTCAGATATATTACGTCGCAGTAGGCGAATGTTCCGTTTGTATGGCTTTAAAGCATACACCATATTTGCATGTACGAAATGCCGAGAATGTCGAGAAATAAAGTAAGACAAGTTTTAATAAACTGCACCGAAACAATGAGATATTTTGGAAGAAAAATTTATTTTTTGAATAAATTAACGTGGAATAAATTTGCACTACTAGAGTTCCACCCACCATGGCCTTCGATCCCTCTATCTACAAAAACTGTTATAAAAATCAGATTTGTTGATATGAGGGAAATATTTTACCAAAAGCTTGGTAAAGGTAATATGCATTTTTTTAAGTACTTCAAAGCTTACAAATTATTTTGGCTTAAAGTTACGAAATACATCAGTGTTGTAATAGGACTGATAATTATATTGTACCAAATTTTTTTATAATTTGATGATTTCAGAATGGTGCGTTATTTAATTGTTTGTATGTTATTTTTGTGCTCATTTATGTGGGGTATGTGTTAATTTTTTTGTTTTTTGGAAATTGATTAATAAAGCAACATTTCTTATAAATAAAACAAAAAGGTTTGTAAAAATAAGGTGTTTTCTGAAAATTACAAGAATTATGGTTGAATTTTTGACATAGGATTTTGTTATTAACTATACAAAATGTTTGTTATAATTACAAACTACTTATTCAATTAGGTAACAGATTACAGTTTTTGGAAACTTAACATAAAGATTACCGTGTAAGCAATGTCATGTACGAAGTGTATTCAGAAAATAACGGGAATTGTTAAATTTCGCGGGTTCGGAGGGTCCCGTTGCATAATTTTTTTTTTATTATGTTGGTATACATATATACATATCATCGTTTACTTTGTCTGTGGCAACCGCTAAGGTTAGACTTGTTTTTATGAGCTCGGTGATTTTCGTTCGTTAAAAGAAATGGATCAAAGAATTAGTATCCAATTTTGCTTAAAAAATTAAATAAATTTTGTGAAATGTTAACAAAGGCCTATAGTGAGTCTGCTATAAGTAAAACAAGAGTTTACAAGTGATATAAGAGTTTCCAAGATGGCCGTGAAGACGTTGAAGATGACGAACACCCCGAGCGCCCAAGCACATTAACAACCAATAAAAAAGTGGAAGAAATGGTTATAAACCATCAGAGAAGTCGCTGATAATGTTGGTATATCGATTGGTTCATCCCATGAAATTTTTTCAAATGTTTTGGGTATGAAACGCATAGCAGCAAAATTGTTAAATTTTTGTCCAAAAACGATACTGTAATGATGCCCCAGCCTCCATATTCTTCAGACATGCCTCTGTCTGACTTTTTCCTATTCCCAAAAATAAAGAGAACCTTAAAGGGCCGTCGTTTTGCAAGCATAGATGACATTAAAAGTGCATCGCTGAAAGAACTAAAGGGTATCCCAAAGATCGAGTTTTAGAAGTGTTTCGAGTATTGGAAGAAGAGCTGGCACATGTGCATAATATCCAATGGGGACTATTTTGAAGGCGACAACATTAATGTAGACGAATAAATAAATATTTTTTTCAAAAACAAAAATTCCCGATATTTTCTGAATTTTATTTTGAATTTAAAAATGTAAAAATATATGGGGTGTTCTATTTGAAATAACAAAGTTGACGTCACTTCCGGTTAAACCGGAAGTGGCATTTTGTTTAAAATATTTTAAAAAATTAAACTTAAATGGATTATAAACGCTTTTAAAAGTTTAAATCGTTCCCCAGAAACTTTTAATGGACCACGAATGTGAAACACCCTGTATGTACAGTGTACACTAATATTTAATAATAAAAGGTTTATAATAATTTTAAAATAACCACATTATTATATTTTACTAGTTAAGTTTGTTTTATGAATTTTGCCAAAGTTGTCAGTAAATAATAAAAAAACTGAACCAACTGTAAATTTTAAACAATATATCTTTTATCGTGTAAGGAGGAAAGAAATATTATTGCAGTTTTATTATATGTTTAATAGCAACAATAAATTAAACTGAAAATTCAATCAACGCAGATATTTTTTATCGAAGAAAAAATGAAAGCGGTCAAATTAATTTTACACCTTGCGTCATAAATCTCTGAGGACCGTGAAGCAAGTATAGAAAGGAGGTTCATCTTACCGACGCACAGTAATTCATTTAGAATTTTTAGATAGAAAGTAGTTTTAAAGATTTAGTTTATGAAGATTTATATTTATATTATCATTTGTTTATTCTGTAAAAATGCGATACATTCTAAAATTATGATGTCGAGGATGTACTATGCTCCACACCTCAAAGTCCCACCACGTGACCACGTACGGAACGCAGTCTTTTGAAAATTTGGCATTTAAGGCTTTTGAGGTTATGTATCTGTCAAAGTATAGTCAACGAAAGAAATAAAATTATGTTTAGGCGTTAAAAATGTATAAATCTTATAACATTACAATAACAATGGATGTTTTAAGAATTTAATGAAATTCTAAAGTGTATGGTGCCAAATAAGTAATATTTTTGTGCATTTGGTCCAAATATCTGGTTTTCACCATAAAATAATTTTAACTAAACAGCTTCTCTATTATATAATAAGAATATCTGTTTTAAAGGTAGGTTAATATATTATAACAAAAATATCATCTAATTGTTGTAATTTTAAGGTTAGAAAAATTTATTTTGACCAAAATAAATAAGTATTTTGGATTATTTAAAAGACTGTATAATATGGAATTTAAAAATGTGGTAGTTTTTTTTATCCAGCTTAAAGTGTACCTACATAAAGTTTTGTCAATACAAATAGTTAAAAAGCTTCGACTGAACTTGATCAACATCGAAAAATCATTATGACTTTAAATTTTTTAATAAATCACATGTCATGGGAGTATTAAATATTTTCACATTGCAAGTTTCTCTAAAAATTGTTTGTTTTCTTATAATCTAATTAAAGTAGGTATGCCGAGAGGTATGCACAAGTTTTGTCATTAGAAGTATAAAAGCTTCAATTTAATTTGAACCATATTCAACAATTATTTAGTATGCCTACCTATATTTATTTATGACCATATTAATACACTCTTTCAAATAATCCACTTATTTGTTTTGGTCAAAATAGATTTTTCTAACCTTAAAATACAAAATTAGATGATATTTTTTGTTCTAATACATTAACCTACCTTTGATATTCTTATTTCATAATAGAGAAGTTTTTTTAATAAATGCTGTTTGGTTAAAACTATTTTATAATATTAATAATAATAATAATTCTTTATTCATGTTAGCATACAATTTGTATTTACATTCGTCAAAAAATATATATATATTTAGATATAACTTTTACAATTTTTTATTACAGAATAAGTAAAAATAATACAATAATAAAAAACTTATAACAATATATACAGAATAGAACATAGATATAAAATTTATTAGAAGTCATTTTCTAGAAACTCCTGTAAGGTGTAAAATGCTTTTTCGATTAGATATGATTTTATAACTTTACTATATGATTTTAAGGGCATTTCTTTAATATGCTTTGGTAACTTATCGTATTAAATGGTATATGTAAATTATCATTGCGCGTGTTAAAACAATGCATTTGATTACGTGCAGAATAGTCCGATATGTTTTTTTTATATGTAGTATATATATATATATTCCTAAGTTCTTAAACCAACCATTGTTATTGTGATACTATAAAGTTTTATTAACTTTTAACGCTTAAACATAAGCGGTAACACTATAAATATTATTTCTTTCAAAAGGCTGCGTTCCGTACGTGGTCACGTGGTGGGACTTTGAGGTGTGGAGCATAGTACCTAGCTTTGGTCGCTTAATCGTCGAAAAAACATGAAAAAAGTTTTGCAAAATAAGCATATAAGCAGCAAACTGAACACCCATCACCAGAAAGTTTTAAACCATCAAATTAACCATTGGTTTTGGTTTCTGAAAAACTCTCTTAATGGGGTTTCAAGTCGATTTTTTACTCTGAAACCATGTCTTTAATAATGGATTCTACCTGAAAAATAGCAAAGGTCATTTATCAAAATGTGTTTTAATTTTGGGTAAAAATCTGCATTTTATAGTCTGATCACTGTGCGTGGGTACCTATGCAATTTAATCGTTGGCTGGCAGATTAAAGATGTGATTGGCAATGACGATTAAGATTACGATTCGAGCTAAATTTCAGCCGTAAAGCGTCAGGAATTCTTACGGCCATACGGCGTGGCTAAAGCGCGACTTAACTGGTATTTAGGGACGTGATTAGATGCGAGATGGAATCGTGCTCGGTTACGGCCCGACACGCTTAAAGTTGTTAACTTTTTACAGCCCGAACTCGCCCGTTAATTTGCTCAGGTTCTTTGTTTCGTATATTGTTAAAGGGAACACTTCGTGGGCGAGTCTCCTCACCACCATCACATTACTTTGCACAGTATAAAATTTAAAAAAACTCGGAACAACACTACCTAAGTGATAATGCTAATTTCCATACAAAATGTGCCAATAAAACCGCTAAAAACATAGTTTTTTAACTCTAAAACCCTTTTTACATTTATTTATATACCAACAAACGTGAATTAATAATTCAATTTAATAATATTTGTATTTTCTATTACAGCACAGCGATGGAGAAAAAAGCGACCAAGACCTCGTGGTAGATGACGCTTCGGAAGACCCAGTTTCTCCACCCAATGGAACTAACTCCCCCAGAGAGAACGGAATAGATAAACTTCCGAAAAAAGAACATCCAGGTAATTATTGCTACACTCACAGGCAAAATAATCGATTCACACATATTTTCGATGAATTTCAATCGCAAATAACTTTTTTATTTGATTTCGGAAATATTTAAGAATATTGTAGATCCATTAATGGAGAATCGCTCACATTTTAAAAATTACTAAAAAATACACGTACGTTTATAATATACAGGTTTAAACAAAAAGATGTTTTTTACCATAAGTTTAAGACACTTTGTAGAGTGGCAAAACTGTATATTGTTCTAAATTAAGTTTTAATTATCAAGTCACACCTATTTTTAACAGTTTTGTTTTTGGTTCACCTTGATATATTTATTTTTGTGGAAAATATGGATTTTTTTTAAAAAACATTGCAATTTCCAATATTATTCCTGTATGAAGAACTAAGGTTGCTATGGTCCATCCATAGCCTACGGAGGATGACAGTGACAGTCTTGTTGAATCATCCCATACTATACATACATGTCATATACAGCATTCAAAAGTTATTAAATTGTTTTTTGTAAATTAATGTGTTAATTTTGAGGTGTCTTCTTACTTTTAAAAATGACTGATGTTGCCCTTTGTACTTTACTTCTTGTGACGTTTGAAACACTTGCTACGTAATGACTCTGGCAACATCAGTCGGGGACATATCCATTTTTTAAAGTAAGAAGACACCTCGAAATATAAACATTAATTAGCAAAAAACAATTTGATAGCTTTTGAAAGCCGTGTAAGACATGTCCAAGTATGGGATGATTCAACAAAACTGTCACTGTCATTCTCCATAGCATATGCATGGACCATAGCAACCTTAGTTCTTCATACAGAAAAATATTGGAAATTGCTATGTTTTTTTTAAAAAATCCATATTTTCCGTAAAATAAATATATCGAGGAGAACCAAAAACAAAACTGTTAAGAATAGATGTGACTTGATAAATAAAACTTAATTTAGAACAATATACGGTTCTGCCACTCTACAGAGTGTCTTAAACTTATGGTAAAAAACATCTTTTTGTTTAAACCTGTATATTATAAAAGTACGTCTATTTTTTATTAATTTTTTAAAATGTGAGCGATTGTCCATTAATTTATCTACAATATTCTTTAATATTCGTTTAAATCCGACATCAAATAAAAAAGTTATTTGCAATTGAAATTCATCGAAATTTGTGTGGATCGATTATTTTGCCTGTGAGTGTATTAATAAGTAACACAACCAAATCTTTCTTAGCGAACAATTTTGTGTCAGGTCCGCACAGTCCGCGTTCGGGAACATCTAGCAACGCCTCAACGCCGTCTACCAAAAAAATGGATAACGAAAAACCGACAACCCCGATTTCCAAGAGCGTTACGCCAACTTCAGCTTCAGGATCTTCAGCGGGTGGTAGCGGAATGAAGCCGGTTGTGAAGCCGCCAGCTTTGGGGCAGTACCCGAACTATTTGGCCATGTCTAATGGCGCGTCTCCACACGATCTGCAAGCGGCCGCGGCGGCCGCAGCAGCTGGTTCCTATGGCGGCCTGCATAACAACATACCGCCATCTCTTAACAACTACCCAAGGCCCCCGCTGCAAGTTGGCTACGATCCTCATTCTCAGATGAGGGCTCCCGTTGTTCCCGGACTGGGGATACCCGGAGGAAAACCGTAAGTGTCTAGAATCTACAGAAATTACATAATACTAGTGTATCATTTTTAAGCAACTTTTTTTTCAACTACAAAACAGGCTAAAAACTTTCAGGGACGTGAAAAAAGAAACCTCTAAAAATTTCAGCTCCTAATATTAACATTAAGTGGTGCCTGTTCCTAACTTTCCATTTTCCATTTAAACAACATGGAAATTTTTTTTTCTTTTTTCTTATTTTTGTAGCTTGACATTTGAGCATTGTAAAAATGAACTGAAAAATTATTTTGGTAGGAAATTGAACGCTCTATTCATTCATTGTTTTATTTAATCTATTATAATTATTGAACAAATTTATTAACCCTAGATCACTCGCGTCCTGGTCTTTTTGACCGACCTATTGGATTTTTCTACATAGTATTCGAAACGCGCATGTCTGGATTTTATGGCTCCGTGACAATTCCTAAAAACCTTCAATACGTCGCACCCCATTTCAAACTTTTAAAGAATATTTTAATTTTAAATAATAAACTTTTTTCTTTTTCTTTTTGTTTTATTAAAAAATAATATTTTTTGACGCTTTAAAAGTTTTGTATTGTTATTATATTATTATAATAAACAATAAAAAAATATCATAACTCTTTATATTTTTTTAAACTGCAAAAATCGTGAATCGGTCGAAAAGACCGGGGCGCGAGTGATAACGTTGGCTTAGGTGCGCGAGTGATCTAGGGTTAAACACAAATAACTTTTTTTGATAGTAAATAAAATAAAATGGAAAAAAATTGAAATGTAAGTGTTATTTTCTTTCTATACGAAAATATTTATTTTTTCTTAAAATAATTTTTAAGACATAAAAAAAGTATTAGTTTAATAAAAAAAAAGTCATAATTTCATACATTTGCAAGTTTGAATAACTTCAGAACGGCTTACTCTATGAAAAAATAAATTAGAACTTTTTTGTAGAGCGTTCAATTTCCTACCAAAATAATTTTTCAGTTCGTTTTTACAATGCTTAAATGTCAAGCTACAAAAATAAGAAAAAAGAATTTTTTTTTCCATGATTCTTCTTTTTTTACCTTCCTGAATGTTTTTAGCCTGTTTTTTATTTGGAAAAAAAAGTTGCTTAAAACTGACACACCCTAACAATACACGTTGACTTTTACTTTTCCAAAATGCATCTGGCATAAATAACATTTTTTATATTTTAGGGCATATTCGTTTCACGTAAGTGCCGACGGTCAAATGCAACCGGTGCCCTTTCCGCCGGATGCCCTTGTAGGACCTGGAATCCCCCGTCATGCAAGGCAGATCAACACTTTAAGTCATGGGGAAGTCGTGTGCGCAGTCACCATCTCGAATCCGACCAAGTACGTCTACACGGGCGGAAAAGGTTGCGTCAAGGTCTGGGATATTAGTCAACCTGGATCTAAGAGTCCAGTCTCACAGTTAGATTGTTTGGTAAGTGTTTTATTTTTAATACTGTATTAGACACAATGATTCATTGTATCTGATACAGTAAACTAGAGGTTGGAAGTTCGATTCTTTTTGGTGAATCAATTCTTTTAATTCATTCTTTTAAAATGATTCGTTCATAAAGATTCGTTCGCGACTGATTCACTTTCTGGTTCAGGAACAGATAATTAATGAACAATTCAGGTTCGACCGAATTAATGACTTGGTTCTTGAATCGTTTGTAATGATGACTTGTATTGGTTGTATCGTTAAATGAATCAACGGTTGTATTATTAAATTATTGGATTCGATTTTTATTTTGCTTACGTGTAAATTAACCTATGGCTTTTCCGGTGCAATAACAGCACAGCTTACATAAAAAACAAAATACAAGTACCTAGGTTGTATTGGAAACTTTTGAATCAAAAGAGTATTTTGATATTTGACAAAAAATTCCCTGAAATATCCCTAGAAATATCACCAGTTATTCAAAAAGACCGACATTTTAGCGTAGTGATCCGAACCTAGCATTTAATTCAGTGCTTGTAACCAGCAGTGATGTAATGTATCGAGATACATGTATCTAGATACTGGATCTAGACACATTTTATGTACCTAGATACGTATCGAGATACTTAAAAAATTCAGGATCTACTTTAGTATCTAGATCCTTTTGAAAGTATCTAGATCCTTAGATACAAGATACTTTTTATTTTGAATTTGTACTACAAATTTTGTAGTAAGCTTTCATATGGCGCGTAAATATAAAATTTATTTCCGTTTTTCATGCATATTTCGTCAATTTTATCAAAACAGTTTTATTTTATAGTTAACACGCTTGTTTATAAGGTCCAAAAAAATTTTTTTTGTCATTTAATTTTTAAGTTTTTTTAACATAGTATCTGGAAGTAACTTAGATACTTTTTGAATGTATCTGTATCTGTACCCAGTTACTTTTGGGGAAATGTATCGGTATCTGTACCCAGATACAGTTGTATTCAATAAAAAAGCGTACAAGAATTAGAATGAGAGAAAACGTGTCAAAATAATATTATTGCTTAAAACCGGCTTATCACTGACATAAGTCATTAAAATAATTACTATAGGTTATAAAGAGCATTGACGTCGTAGGTTAATTAAATAATATTACAAAAATTATTAATTTTTAATATAGATTTTTTATTTCTATTATGCCAAGGTACGAATTGACCATTCTTCTTCGATTCTTGATACTATTTGAGCCTTTTAAACTGATGAGGCATTTTTATTTTCTACTGTCAGTTATAGTGACTTAAGTCAGTGGAAAGCCGGTTTTACGCAATAATGTTGACAGTTTTCTCTCATTCTAATTCTTGTACGCTTTTTTAATGAATACAACTGTACATCTACCAGAGAGTATCTGTATCGGTACCTAGATACTGAAAAAATGTATCGGTTACATCACTGGTAACCAGGTTTATATTTATTTTATGGTTTGATTCACTTTTTAGTTCACTCGTGATTTAAAAAAAATTATTAAAAAAAGAATTGATTCTTTTACAAACTTTGTTCGATTCATTCGGTTCATTTAAATCATTCGTTCTTTTTGAACGAATCGGAATCAAACTTGCCACCTCTACAGTAAACATCATAAGGTGTTTTTTTTTCTTCTTGCAACCGTGGAGCTATATTTTGAAATTCTCAAACTTCTACTAAACTCTAAAATCCTTTGTAAACAAATTTGCACAGTAGTTCAAAATTAAAACATTGTGAGAAAAATTCGCACAAAAGTATGAATATAAAAAATAGAAGAAAACTTTTCTTCTATTACAATTAAGAATGAACAATGAGCCTACCACATGATAGGTTACCAAAATCGATACTGTTTTCTCGGTATCTTGATAAATTTTCTTTAAAAATATATGTTTCTCATACCATCAGCAAATTGTTCTTCTTTAAAATCACATGTCACAATTGTAATTAATAAACCAAATAAATAAAATTGTTGGCACCAAAAATGTTAAATTAAATTTTAACACACATATTGATTATCGATTAAATAAAAACAAACCACAAATTTAATTAAATTATCCAAAAGAAGTATCACTACAGCTCTATGGTCCTAGCTCACATTTTAAATGAGGGCATTTTAAACAAACAGCTATATATTTTCTCCTGACGTTTTTAATCCGTTGGTATAAGATTACTTATTTTCCATTAAAGCTTCAATTAAAATTTTTAAAGGAAGAACAAAATATTTTAGGTTTTTATCAGCCATTTCAGAAAAATAAATAAATGTTTAAAAGCCTGGCTTGCATAATAAATAACAGTTAGGGACAAAAATTTTACATTTGTTTTGTTTGTTTTAACATTTTGTGACAAGATGAATAGGTTTATTAACTTAAACGTGATACCTAGGTTTAACTTATTCGTCAAGTTGACCTTAAATATAAGTTGTGGACATTCTTGTAGAAGTGGTATTAGAAAAAAAGTTTATTACTTTTTGACTTGACTTTTTAAATGTTTTCATGGCACTAAGCTTTAGTCACGGGCTGAAGTTATAACTTGTTATAGCAACAGGTTTTTGTCACGGGCTGAAGTCATACAATGGTTAAAATAATACTAAATGTGCAAATTATTGTATTAATACACAAATTCAAAAGTATTAATTAGTTTCTCAACGCCAATATTTAAAAAGTTTGTACTGACCTCTTGGTTTCGCCGGCAGCATGGTATTAGGACTGTGGCCGGTAGTAAACTAGATTTAACGGATAGAGCATTAAAAATCGGGTGAAGACTCAACCGTGGAGTGCCCATAAAACATTCTCTTTTACTTTCACTGTGATAAACTGCTTCTAAAACGAATTTAAACGGCTGTTGGTCCACTTTTAAATGATAAATTTTGATTTACACAGAAAAATTTGACATTTGCCGCCGGTACTACAGATTCCCATTCTTACGCTTACTCTATTTTAATAATAATAAGTATCTGTCGTAGAAACTCGTTTATGAACTTTTCTAGACACTACTTTATTAAACACTCCGCCGCGAGCGAGCTCGTGCCTTATTTAAATTTGTGGCGATTATTAAACTTGATACATAATATATTATTTACTATCTAACACATAATAATTTGCACTTTACGCAATCAAATCAAATTAAATTGTTAAAAAATAAAGTTCAAGCTTATTTTGTAGTCTTATAGTTATAGATCCAAAATGTTGCCCACCTTATTTTAGCATATTATTATTAGATCTCGGATCAGTTGGATGTATTATTATACCACAAACATCTATTTTTTTAGCAAAGAGACAACTACATTAGATCCGTGAAACTGCTGCCGGACGGAAGGACCCTCATCGTAGGGGGCGAAGCTAGCAACTTATCAATTTGGGACCTGGCGAGTCCCACGCCGCGCATCAAGGCGGAGCTAACGTCAAGCGCGCCTGCGTGCTACGCATTGGCGATCTCGCCCGACTCGAAAGTCTGCTTTAGCTGCTGCTCGGACGGCAACATCGCCGTCTGGGATCTGCACAACCAAACGCTGGTGAGGCAGTTCCAAGGACACACGGATGGCGCATCGTGCATAGGTAAGTCACAACTGTTTTAAATGCTTTGTATAACACAGTTCGACAAAAAAATTTCTCCCATGAAAAGTTCCTTAAGATTTTAAAGATATCCAATAAAATGTTATCAACAGTACTTATTCGGCACATAATATAACAAAAATGTATTTACTGAATAAATGGACAACCATTAAAATTATTTATTTATTTTAAAATTATTTTTATTATTATTATTATAATTACATTTACGAAATAGGGTTTTTCACGTTCGTGGTCCATTGAAAGTTTCTGAGGAACGGCAAAAGATATCGATTTGAAATATTAAAAGCGTTTATAATATATAAAATATTTTTAGCAAAATGCCACAAAGTGACACTTAAATTTTAAGAGCAAAATAAAAAAAAATTGACGGTTAATTTTGTTTTAATTGGATGTTTATTAAAAATATGTATGCACACTTTCAATTCTCCAATTAAAACTTGCGATTTTATTTAAATATTATCATAACTTTTTAAATCAGATTAAAGATTAGTTAATTTCCTAAAAAAAGGTCTATACATTTTTTATATCTTTTACTGTTTTGTTGTAATATACGTTTAAAGTTTTAATTTTAGGTTCAATGTATAGTATACATTTATTAAACAATAATTCTAAGGGTGCCACATTTTATTTAGGGCCGATTTATTCATTTTTAATTTATTTGACGAATAATTTCTTTGGATACTAGATATTGCCAAGACATGAAAGTTATCGGCCCGATAAACTTTACTAAAGATGAATAAACCGGTCCTTAGTTAAATTTCATGAATTTCTTCGTAACTTTTACTACAATTTTTCATTTTTGTTTATAAAAAACACTTCAGGAGCAGATAATAGTATATTATGTATCGTTTTATAAACGCCATTTTAGTTACAAGTTTTATTAGGCACGAGCGAAGCTTGCGAGCGAGTGTTTAATAAAAACGAGTGTCTAGAGAAGTTTATAAAACGAGTTGCATACTATAATTTATCTAAGACGAACAGAATTAAGAATTTAAAGCCAATTTAAATTGATAAATATTTGACATTGGCGAATTTAACCTAACTGTTTCGCAGTTTATAATAAAGCTAACTTCAGTCTGTGACTAAAATGCCCAAAAGCCACTGTTGTTAACTTCAGCCCGTGATTAAAACGCCATAAAGTTACAGCTCGTCAATGTAGAAGTAGATAAAATAAATTTTATATTATATTGTCCCCAATGAGCTAGTGCTTCATCTCGTTGACATTCTACAATGTTGATGTTTTTTCAAAATAAGCAAATACTACTGCTTTTAAATTATAAAAACCTTTGGCTTGTCCATGTTTTTTAAAATTCACTGACTGCCTTTTTATCAATAATTTTGTTTACAAAACACTTAATTAGTCAACAAATTGTTTATAACGACCTGAAAAATTGACGCCATTAAATTTTTAACAATGACAGATTACGTGCTAACAACAGATACCGTCACTCACCCGTCACAGGCTTTTCGATTAAAAATAATATTTAAAATTTTAGAAATACTTAGTTAAATATTTCTGAAATTATTAACTTTAGGTATAGGGAATAGTTACATTAATCGAAATGTTTTTTAATTTGCTATTTGATTAGGGGTATTACATTTAAAATAAAAAAGTTATTAACGTTTTAATTTGCCCTGGGTTTTTTCGGGTAATTTGTAAAAAATTGTTAAAGAATTGACATGAAATCTTTTAAGCAATGTTTTAAGATTCCGAAAATTTCACCCCATCTGTAAACAAACATTTTAACGAAAAAAATTAATAACTCAAACTATTCACTTTAGGTATAGGACATTATATAGTAATTTTACTCAGAATTTTTTGTAGAATTTAAAATGTAAAAATTTATAAAAATAACAAAGTTGATGTCACTTTTGGTCAAACCGGAAGTGGCATTTTGTTTATAATATTTCGACTGAAATGAATAAACGCTTCTAAAATTCAAATCAATATCTTTTTCCGTTCCCCAGAAATTTCCAATGGACCAATGTGAAACACCCTCTATATCAAGTGGTGTTTTTTAGGTTGTGATACCACTATAGATTCTAAAGCAATGTTTAATCGTAAAACTAAAATATCAAGATTTGTTTCCAACATATATTTAATATAAGATAAATACAAATCTGTTGTTTTATTGAAAACAAATCAAAAATTAACTGTGAGACACGGGTATGTTTTTTTAACCTTTAATTTTAATATCGGTTCATGGGAAGAAAATCGCGTTGAACTGTGTAATTAGGGCGATAAAAAAAGGAATTTTTTTCCGATGCATAAAAATTCCTTACATTATAGCGACAAAAAAGTTGTATGGTATTTTTATTTGTAGATATATCAGCAGACGGGACGAAATTATGGACAGGCGGCTTGGACAACACAGTGCGCAGCTGGGATCTGCGCGAAGGCAGGCAGCTTCAGCAGCACGATTTCAGTTCGCAGATATTCTCGTTGGGTTACTGTCCGACAGGCGAATGGTTGGCTGTGGGCATGGAGAACTCGAATGTTGAGGTGTTGCACGCCTCAAAGCCCGACAAGTATCAGTTGCATCTGCACGAAAGCTGCGTGCTGAGTCTGAGATTCGCCGCGTGCGGAAAATGGTTTGTTTCTACTGGTAAAGATAATTTGCTGAACGCTTGGAGAACACCTTATGGCGCTAGCATATTCCAGGTAAGATATTCCAGCGAATAAGTATTAAAAAAATTATAAAAAGAATAGTTTTAAGGATAAAACATGTTAAATATATCTATTTTAAACAGTGCATACTTAATTACATATCGAGTGGCGGTATTTGCTACACAAGCGAAGCGTTTTCCTACATCTTGAGCAGAGCATAGTGAAGTTAACGCATAAACAAAATTTTGTCGTCTGCCTTTCCCAAAATTCCGGCATTTTCGCATCAATAAAAGTCAATATAAAGTTTTATTATGATATTTTTAAATATGGTACCTATAATATTTGTCAAATCATATTGTTAAATTACGCTGGAAAACATGCATTTTAGCCCCATCTTACTCTAAAAAATAAATAGTTCACATTTTAATATTCATTGTGACTATTTAGGCAAACTAAAGATAATCTTAGCACTAAAGTTTCGCTTAAAGAGTCTCTTATTTTTAAGTTTTAATGTAGTAGAGATAGCAGTTCAGTGTAACAAAAAAAAAACATGTGACACAATAAATGCACAAAACATTGCATTAATTAAAAAGAAAGAAATTGGTTTACTTTACATGAAAACAAATTAAATGCTGAAAATACTTACCGAGTAAATGCCGTGATGAAATATAACCTTCAAAAACACACGCTGTGTGTTTGTAACGCGCAAAATAACAATAGCGATACCATTGCCTGCAGCGGCGCCATCTCGTGCCACAGTTATATATAGGGATGGGATTTTAGTTATTTTACCTTTTTTCAACCGATGTAACTATTTGAAAACCAATAATGCCAAAATGTGTTTTAAAAGATTTTCTTTTATATGAACCTAACTTGTTTTCACCTTTTTTGGAGGTTTTTGCTTTAAACTACCTTTTTTATACTTTTCTTACCTATTTTTTTAACTAGTTTTCACCTCTTTTACCTTTTTTGGAGGTTTTTGCTTTAAACTACCTTTTTATACTTTTGTTACATATTTTTTAATTTGTCAGTTTATTTTCACATATTTGTTATCTATTTTTACGTATTTTTACTTATTTTATTTTTTTGTGTTCTTTGTAAATTTTCCGTCAATATTTTATCCAGGGCGTGCAACTCAACGGTATAGAATTTTTTCTTATGGTCACAGCATAGAAATTATTCTATTATTCTAAATTATTTCTATGGGTCACAGACTGTAATAGTAACTTTCTTTACAGTATTTCTTTGTATTGAGCTTATGTTCTGTCATAGAATTTCTGTGTAGTGAGTGTCACTCAGTGAAACACAGTTTATTGCATAGAAATAGTTTATTGTGGGTATGTTCTGTGTTTGGGTATGCGGCTAAACAAAATTATAAAAGAAACTTGAACTTTTAATGTTTTTTTTTTACCTAAAATGCTGTTTTTTTTTAACCTAAAATGCTTTTTTTAGTACCTTTTTAGTTACCTATTTTTCAGTTTTTATTACCTAAATATTCCATCCCTAGTTATATACTACATGGGTTACAGAGTTCTTTTATATGTAATGCTAAATTTCAGTGTATTTTATAACTTATACTTTTTATAAATTTTACAAATCTGATTATTTGGTTTGTGACGAAGTAGACATTGGTAGACATAAGGGCATGCTTAAAAAATTATTCAACTTTCGACCTTAATTAAGACATATTTTATTACAAAATTTTCTATTAATTTTAAGTTCTTATTTATGAATCTGGTTCTATATTAGCTGTCTCGATTTTCAAATGGTAGAGAGCCTTAATAGTATAATGACCCATTTATGCGGTGTAAGCGAAAAAATAACTAAATAACAAAATATTGTCAAAAATATTAATCGATTACTAATAAATGTTTCTTTTTATTTTCAGTCTAAGGAGTCGTCAAGCGTGTTGAGTTGTGACATATCTGCTGATGATAAATACATAGTTACCGGTTCCGGAGACAAAAAGGCGACGGTTTACGAAGTCATCTATTAAAGTAACCTTATAAGTGTAGATTAAATTTAAAGAAATTGTGATAATAATCGTGTAATAAACTACTTATAACTGTCACCGAGACTAAGTGACAGTGATCTGATGTGAGATATACTAGATATTTAGTTAGATTATTCGGTGATCTCCATGACATGCTTTTTTTAATAATTTAATCAACTATTTGTAAATACTTTTAATTTTATATTACGACAAGATTTGTTGTTTTTACTCAAACGTTATAGATTTAACAAACTTAGTTTTATTAGTTTTTATTAAGACCCTTTAATGTGTAAATATCACTTATAAATGCAATGCACATTGTTTTATTTGTTATTTAATATGTAGCAAGCATGATTTTAAAATGCATAATTAATTCTGGGACTTATGAAATTATTTAACATGTCATAAAATATTTTTATAAACCTAGTAAACATTATTCAACTGAAATATTTACTTATTCTTTATCGCCTTAGTTATTGCTGTAATAAATGTATAGAAACATCAAGCTTTCATTTCCCTTGCTGTGAATAAGTAAATATTTTTAACTCAAATTAATTATAAAATATTTTATGAATTCCCCACGGTTAAATTACAATTAATGTATAATATTATATATTTGTAATTGAGCATAATAAAATTATTTAAAGAAAATATCTTAATGTTGCCTACAAGAAAATGGTTTCATTTTTGTACATCATGCAAAATTAAATGCTATTTTTATCACTTCAAAAGCTGGCCCACAAAATTGTATTTGTTAAAAATATGAAGATAGTCTATTTTGATTTTGATGACCAGGTTTTAAAATGTAAAAGTTACACATTGTCTTATAATAAGTGTGATTTTTTTAGTAGATAGCATTTTAATAATTTTAAACCAATATTAGGTAATAATAATTATTTATTCTTATTTAATTTTAACCATTTAAATTTAATGAAACCGAATTATTTTTGTATTAAATACCGTAAAACTGTTTTAATTTACATTTTTGTTTATTGTTTAAAATTTTATTCAACAAAATTAAATACTTATAAAAAACCTAATACGAATTATAATAGTTACTGTTTTTTGGCAAACTCTATTTGTTTCAAAATTTTGTAGCAATATTCATTCCATAGTGTACCTACCTATTTAAATGATTTTATTATTTTTTTAAGACACAAGAAAAATAGTCAAAATCAGTGTATTTTGTCATGCTGTTGATAAAATAAACTTGTGTTAAATGTATTTAGTGTTTTATTTATTTTTTCTACTCCCTACTTTAAAACGCCCATTATTGTACATCTTTCCATGACACTAAGTGACATTTTAATACACATTGACAAGCTGTGGCTTTATGGCGCTTTAGTCACGGGCTGAATTTACCAACAGGTTGAAGTTAATTTTAAGTTGGATGACAGTTGTCAAATGTCATACAATCGTTAAAATAAAGTGCATTTTTTGTAAAATAATAAAAAATCGGAAAATTATTTTATTATCTAAATACAAAATTATTAAATAGTTTCTTGACGCCAATATTTGAAAATATTAAATATACTTTTTACTGACCTTTTGTTTTCGGCGTAGTAGTGCAGTTAACTAGATTTAACTGATAAAGCGTTAACAATTTTGCGGACAGTGCCTGTAAAACATTTTATTTTCTTTTACTGTGAAAACCTTTGTTAGTCTATTTTTAAGGGATAAATTTTGATTTACACACAAAAGAGATTTTAACCCCGGGATATTCCCAAGTTAGAAATTCTAACAGGAATTTAAATAAATACAACTGTCACTGTGTACCTTTAAAATTTCCCGTGTAAGAATTTTTAATACTATGTGATAATATTTTGCTATTATAGTAATAAAAAAATATTTTCTTAAATATCATATTTTAATATTTTAAAATATCAATAATTGTTTAATTAAAATAATAACGGGCAATGTTAATGGTGAAAATTACGTCAAAAATGTTTATTTGGATGGTTACTTTCTTTTCGTATAGAAGTCGCTTTATACAAATGTTTAATTTAAATCATTTCTTAGATAATATTAAGTATATATTAGTTGTAGAAAAAATATAGAATATCGTTTATAAACTCTTCCATACACTTATACGTTTATCAAACTTAATACATAATATATATAGATCACCACAGACTAAATTATAGTATTCTGTGTATTCTTTCCAGAACACATTTTTAAAAGGGTTCTATACAATAAATATAAATGTAACTCAAACCATCAGATATAAGGTTTATCTCTGTTACCATTACAGTCAGGGTTCTTCCACCCTGGTCAGGGTGATTACAGTCATAAAACTAAAAAATAAAGGAATTTATCTGGTATATTAGACGCTTTAGAGATCCACCAGTAGATGGCGCGCGAATGCACAATTTAAGTAAACTTAAAGCCTTATAATCCTCATGGTTTACAAAATCTCCACTTTAGTTTAGTATTGAATAAAAGCTGGTTTAACAAAGCCGTTGAGGTTAAATAACCACTGTTATGTTAGTTTAATTTGTGATTAGATAAACTATATTTTAATAAGGTAGCTGCATAATTCAGTATATGCATATGGTAAGTAAAATTTAAATTTGGGCACGTGTTTGTATTTACCGAATGTAAGTGTAGTTTAATCTTCCAAAATGGCGGACACTTTTCCTAGAACTGTCAATGCATTTTATCAATTAATTTCTTAATAAGATTGGTATTATTGATAAATACAAGTAGATAATTTGTAAGTAGGTACTAATTACTAATTACCTAATCATAAAAATAAAGTTTCTAAAAATAAAATAAGTTGGTACCTTAATATTAGAAATGATGTTTTAATTTTAAATTTGACACTTAAAATTGACAGATTTCAAAAGTACGTTTATAAATAAAGTTTGATATTAATTTCATACTTTCTTTATTTTTTTGAGCCTATATATAGATATATCTTAATTCCAAATCAGTGTGAAATAATAGTATATTATGTATCAAGTTTTATAAACGCCATTTTAGTTACGAGTTTTATTAAGCACGAGCGAAGCTTGCAAGCGAGTGTTTAATAAAAACGAGTGTCTAGATAAGTTTATAAAACTAATTGCAAACTATACTTTATCTACGACGACCACAAAGAAGAATTTAAATACAATTTTATTTGTTAAACATTTGACATCGGTCAAATGTCAACGGAATTAACCTCACTTTTCTCTAATTTATAATAAAGCTAACTTCAGCCCGTGACTAAAATGCCATAAAGTCGCAGCTCGTCAATAAAGGAGTAGATAAAATAATTTATTAGTATAAGAATGTTTAATTTAAATTCATATACCTATGGTAATATATATATATATATATATATAGATAAAATATCTATATATAGATATTTTATCTTTAATCTATAATTTAAGCTTTTGACAGCTAGCTCTGCAGAGCTCATGAGCTATCTAACCTCAATTTATATTTTTAATAATTTTTAATAATGTTTAACAAACAAAACTGTGCCTTAAAGATAAAAAATGTTTCATGGCATGCGTTCGGCTAAAACGTGTGCTTCGCTCAATTGTAGGCCTCTGCTAACATTAACAATTTTGGGTACCCATAAAAATCCTCTTCACTTTTACTGTGAAAAACTGCTTCAATATCGGATTTCAACGGTTGTTATATTTATAATTAATATTAGTATTTACTAGTATAGGGTATTATGATTATAATTAATTAGGCGTTTTCGACCCCTACCTTAAAATTTAGTGTAATATTTTTTGTCATTATTTATATATATGAGTCATTTTCAAGAAACACCCGCTTTCAGGAAAATGAAGTTCAAAAATTTTTGTTTGCTTAAATTGACTTTTGGTTGGATTTTTATAAATGTTTAGAGTTTTGTTTACTTACATTTAAGACAGGCAGTGCACTTTTTATTTTTTTTACGTTTTTTTTAGAAAAATGTGTTTAGCTAGCTTTATATATCTCCACTGTGTTACCAATTTGAAATCCAAAATTTAATTCAATAAAAAAAGTTGTTATAAAAATAATTTGAAATAAAATGTACTTAGTTCAAAAACTTTTGACTCCAATTTTTTATTTTATTTTTATTAAAAATTGTATGCTTTTTTTAAATATTTTTGTTAGTTAAGTCACTTTTTAAAAGAAACCATTCCGATTCTTTGTTAAAAAAACAATATCATTTATATTTTCTTTTAGTCACTGTATTAGTGAGTTAAACTCTAATTTATAAACAGGTATTACCAAGTGATAGTAAAATCATTGTAAGAATTTGTTTTAACAAAAACTAAAAAAATTAACGAAATAGACATTAGTATCACAACGGACTGGGGTACACAAAGGACTTAATTAGATAACGTAAAAAAGAAACTATATAGGGTGGTACGATTTTAGAGTAATGCATAAACAAAATCCCTTGTTACAGTAGTGGTGCTTACTTGCAGAATAACAACTTAGATTTCTAAATTATAGACACCCTTTTTCTTTGACTAAGGTCTTTCGTCCCTTTTAGTACTTGTATATTGCGTGGAATTTTCTCTTGGATGTAATCTATATCATGAGTTGTAATCACAAATAATTTTAAATTGGTTTATCATAAACTACTTTGAATAAAAGCGACGGTAAATATCCACTTTGTTGTCGAAAAATTCTATTGCGTTACCCTAAATTCCATTGCGTTACCATAAGGTAACGTAATGGACTCGGTAACGCAGTGGAAAAAGTTTTGTGAAACCATATTTAAAAAATAATAATAAGACATTACAGTCATTAATTACTCTTAATAAACATAAACATGAAAAATAGTATTTTTTTTTACCTTATTTTTATTATTTTTTTTGAGTAACTTAGCGGACAAACAATTATTACATTCGCGTTACCCGCACCTGTTTCAACCGATATCTTCTTCCTGAATGAATAAATAAATTCAGCTGGGTAATGTGTACGTCCGAACATCATTTGTTGATCACGTGAGTGCCAAAAAAGTTGCCATATAAGTATATGTTTTTTTAAATATTGTATCGGTAACGCGACGGACGTAACGCAACGGAAAAAATGTCTGGGACATGAGTCAAATTTAAAAAAAGTAGATTAAAATAAATTAATTTATACAGGGTGTCCCGAAATTAGGGGGCCAAACTTAAACAGGGCATTCTTCATAGAAAAGTAACACTTTTTTGTTAAATAAACATGTATCAAAAAATGCCCCCTAACGGAGCTACGGCCCCCTGAATAGGAGCCTAAGAGAATAGTTTTTTTAAAACTATTTCTAGAGCGTTAGACATGAAGAAATGAAATTTTGACACTTTGGTAATTTTTAGATGCTGAATCAAGATTTAAGATCAAAACTGTTAAAATTTAATCATAGGCGTAACATTTGGGGGTGAAAAGTTATAAAAATAGCCCCAACTTTTTTCCGAGATAATATTTTAAATTTTTTTTATGAAATTATGAAAACTTATAGTTTTTTACGAAAAATAGGTAGTCTTGATTTGAATCGCTCAGATGCACCATTTTCGAGAAAAATGCATTTATAAATTACTCTGCATAGCATACACATCTCATATTTTCGTTAAAATTTTCTGTTAAAATTTGGAAAATCGCTCCATAATAAAAAATAACAAAAATCGAGCCAAAAAATATTAACTAAACTATAAAAATAAATGTAAAGTCAGCAAATAACCCAAACGTCACTTTTGTCCCAAAGCTTTTTAATGAAAATATTAGAAATTATGCTAATCATAGTAATTTAAATTGCAATTTTCTCGAAAATGGTTCATCTGAGCGATTCAAAACAAGAGTACCTATTTTTCGTGAAAAACTATACATTTTCAGAATTTTATAACAAAACATTAAAAAACTCACTCTGCAAAAAGTTGGGGCTGTTTTTGTAAATTTGACCCCTCAAATGTTACGCCTATGATTAAATTTTAACAGTTTTGATTATAGATCCAGATTCAGAATGCCAAAATTACCAAAGTCCCAAAAATTCAGGTCTTCATGTTCAACCCTCTAGGAATAATTTTAAAAAAATGATGCTCTTAAGCTCCTATTTAGGGGGGCGTAGCACCGTTAGGGGGCATTTTTTAATATATGTTTATTAAACAAAAAATTGTTATTTTTCTATAAAGAATGCACTGTTTAAGTTTGGCCCCCTAATTTTGGGACACCCTGTATATAAATGGTTTACTGTACTAAGGATGTTATTGATTGCTATAAAACAACACAAAGTTCTGGTTATTCAATATTTAAAAAAAAACATGTTTGTAAGTTTTATAAAACGCTAATGGGACATTCAAAAATGTGTGTTTTACAAGTTTCAAAATTAAAAAACAAATATTCTGAAATAACTAAACAAACATTTTCTGAAAGAGTTTACTAAGGGCTTGTTAGGCTTTCTCTTGGTTTTTAAATCAATAAGATCCGATAATTTTTAACAAAGTTATTGAAATTCAAACTTACGAACAGCGGAAGGCGCGTGTTTTTCGAAAACGACCCATCCCATCCCTACTATTTACTCCACAATCCACACAACAAGGTGACCTTGTCAAGGTCTGTTCAATCTCGTACTAAAAATACAAAAAATCACTGCAACACTGCACAGAGTTTAACGGCGTCCATTTTTGTTGTCTACAATTCTTGTGCTTTGGTTTTACAGATTAATAATCGTTTCAAAAGTTTTGTTTCTTTACTCTTCTTTTTTTTTAATAAACCTTATTCTATAAGGGCTGTCATCAAGCTGTCAATTGTCAATTTTAAGGTTTATTTGTGGGTTATGTTTAACCTTAAAATTGACATTTGACATTTCAGTTTTTCCAAAAAAAATAGCATGTTAAACCTAACTTAAAACGAAAAACTTATTAAAGGTCTAAAAAAAATAGTTGTGAAAAAACAGGTAGAAGTCAATTTTAGAATGATAAAATCTTATTTCTTAAGAAATAATTATGATATTTATTTATAGGGAAAATGGAAGACTGTTACAATAACATCGAAAAACGACGCAGATCGAGCAATTTTAGCCGCATCGAATTGATGTTGCTATTAAAACTCGTGAAGAAGTTTACCCCGATACTCAACAACAGAAAGACTGATGCGATTTCGAACACAGCCAAGGCTCAATGCTGGCTGAAAATCGAGCAAATATTTAACTCACACAGTTTTGAGACTTATCGTTCTTGGTCTCATCTAAAGAAAAAGTACGAAAATCACAAGAAAGTAAAGAAACAACAGTTTATTGACAATGGCAAAGAGCAGGATCCCAATCAATGGATTGATACAGAAATTAGTAATATTTTTCAAGAAATTAAAGATGAAAGTTGTAGTAAGTGTATATACACATTTCTATGAAATGATCTAGTTATATTGCGTTTTATCAACATGTTTCTATTTAGGGAAATATAGATATATGGGTGATTCTACAAAAGTTGGGTAACTTTTGACCTCATTTTGTTTATATTGTTTTCGGAGAAAATTAAAGAGTATTTTGTTATGAGAACATAGATAATATAATAAATATACTGTTCCAGACCGGGCCAGTCACTTTTTCAAACAGTTTCTGAAATATCTGTTTTCTAAATTTGAATGCAAGGGAAGTGACGAGTATACCAGGGTACTAATTAAATAAATAATTTATTGGAAAATATATGATTATTGCAACTTTGAGCATATTATACATTAAATATCTTAAAATCAAATAATACCACACATCAGTGGAGGCTGGTGGATTTTGGGTATACCGATATCTCAATTGAATCCCCTATTATCAAACATTAAAAAAATACTACCTATCTATTTGTGCATTCAAATGGTTGAAAAGCCACGAAATGTATATATACATTAATTATATATTATTAATTAATTATTATTAATAATTAATTATATATTATTAATTAATTAATTATTATTATTATATATATTAATTTTGTCTTTATAAATATTTGATGGCTTTTGCAACTATTTCTACACACACATTGATAGATAGGAATATTTTAATGCATGTATCTCATTTTTATTACAACGGATTTAAGTGGTTTTGATACTAGAGGATTCAATTATTAGATAATATCTAATTATGGGACCCACACCAAATTTATTTGAGTTTATAATGACATTAAATAGTTCTGCGCAAGCAGAAATTAAATTGAAGCGAAAGATAAAAGAATGGGATACAAATTTGAGATTATAATTCGGAATTAAGTATTTTACTGATATTTTTTATTGGTGGATGCTACTTAAAACACAAATAACATATAGCCTTATATAAATTACAATGAAATATATATACGTTAGAAAATAACTACTCCACACAGTACTAAAATTTTGACTGGAACTATACGTGCATTCACCACAACTTCGCCGCTTGCATTGTTTTCAAGATGACTGTCGTGCAAAGGGCGGGCTCTGTAGGTAATTTTTTACCAACACTTGAGTTAAAACGAGGACGACGTTTAAACTTTAATATTTCGCAGGAATTTTGAATTTTAACATTGGACACAGAACTGACGGGTAAAAGTGAGTACAAAGATTATCATTTTTTTTTAAATTGCTATTATTCGAATCTATGGTAAAATATGCAAAATTTAAGATAAATTGAATATATTTTAAAATAAAATCACTCAAATATTTGATTCAAGAGTTGTGACACGCCAAGGTACTGATGTTTTGAATATTTATTATGTTTTTCTACAATCGTGCTTATGAAAAAATACATTAAAATTGGATGGACAAGTTAAAAAAACCTGGATCTTTTGTAATATACTAAAATATTTACAAGAAATATTAAAATACCTACTCTACCCAGACTGCAATGAAGGTTCGAAAATATTCCAGGAATATTCCCTATCGCCTAGGAATAATCCGCTTCATTCTAGGAATATTCATTGGGAATATTCCTAGAATGATCCTCTAAAACTTCCAAGCATCATCTAAGAACATTCCCAGAGAATATTCCTCGGGAATATTCCTAGAATGATCCTCTAAAACTTCCAGGCACAATCTAAGAACATTCCCAGTGAATGTTTTTTATATTTAAAAAACAATAAATTGGTTATATTTTATATTTGAATTATCGTTAAGGCTTAAACTGTACAATTTCTACCCCAATTATATTTAGATAGGACAATATGCATCTTTAAGATTTTAAAAAAATGCAGATAGAACACTATAATTCTCAGGTGACGTTATGTCTACTGACAAGATTATAGTGTTTAGTTATAGGTATAAACCACAGAGATTTGTTCAGAGCTGGATGCGGTATAAAGAGTCTACATTGTAGACTCTACAATAAAGGAAAAAATTAAAACTGGCGCGTTGAGTTCATCGGTAACTATCGGTTCTGTCCGAGATGAATCGAAGACGACCGATGCTCTTATTGGCCGGCGCCATTAATTCGCAGTCTCAGAATTTTCACTGTGTATGAAGCAGAGATAAACGTAAGAACGACGATTTTACGATTGAAAAAGGTAATTAATTGGTTTTAAACATTTTTTACGTATTGACTAGTACAAATATGTTGTGTTAAAGACTGCAACACAACATATTGGTACTTGCAGTAGTATTTATTGTTCTCCATGTACCTAAGGACAGCGCCATTAATTCGTTGTTTGGATTTTGTTTTAACCACGTTTTAGCATCGGTTAGTTCAAATGAATGAAAATGGTTCTTTTCACTCCCTATGACATTTCTTTGGGCAAAAAATGTAATATTTTTTGTGTTACTGATACAGCAAGGTTTATTTTTAAGTTTAAAACTGTGTTTTATATAATACCAACACCTTTTCTATATTTGGGCATTAATTAACCTTAATTGCTATTGCTCTTTTTTGTGTTTGTTTCGTTATATACCTACCGTACCTTCATTTGTAAGCTATTCATAGGGAAAATACATTGTAGGTGGACCAGACAAGTCGAAGTCAGCGCGAACTTTTTCGCTTCGCGCTGACTTCTATAGTATACTTGTCTGGTCCACATAAAATGTAGGTATTTTATTTCCACCTTCTTAGCATAGAAAAAGAATATAAGAAGGGCGACAACTAAATGGCAATTTGGTTAACAAAGGCACAACGCAGGCTCGATGCCGCTATGTAAATTATTTATTTATTAATATGTCTTTTATAAAAAATATTTTTGAAAGAATATTGTTTTTTTAAATAAAATGGTTTTGTCACAATTTTGCAGCTCTGTTATTATTAATAGTATACTCCACAAATCAAAGTCCCACCATGTGACTGATAATTGTATAAGGAATTTTTACAGGAACTATGCTCCACCACGTGACTGATAAAAATAATTAAGGTTAATTTTCTGTCAGTGTCAAGCTTATTTTATCCTATTTCCTAAATGCAATGCAATATATGAACTTTTTGTGTATAAAGGTCTTAATTTAGAACACAAAAAATACATATATTGTATTATTTTTAGAAAATAAGACGAAATTAGCTTGATAGGTTCTGAGAAAAAATTAACCTTAATTATTTTTATCAAAGTCACGTGGTGGAGCATAATTCCTGTAAAAATTCCTTAAACCGGCGTAAGGAATATTCCCAAAACGTTCCTGGGATAAGGGCTGGGAATAATCCCCAAATTATATCAAGGAATATTCCCAGAATAATCCTCGAGTCTTCTGCAGGCAGATACATGGAATATTCTTTTTATGATGCCTGGGTTATTCAAAAAGCGGACATTTGATTATGCCAGGAATATTCCTGGGAATATTCTGGGACGATTGGAATATTCCTGGGAATATTCCTGACATGTGCAGGGAATGTGATTTTGCGGTCTGGGTATTGACTGATGACATCAAGTTTTCCAACTCTTGTAGAATTACCCATATATAATTTTCTATTAAAGGATAAGAAGAAGGTAGTTTTTGAAAAAGAAATCTCTCTAATAAAGGATTACAAATAATAAATTTATTTATTTTTATTATGTATTTAGGTAGCCCGCCTTTCGATGTACCTGAAGTCAAAATGGAAAATACTAGTTCTGTTGAAGGTAATAAATATTATTTATTTTATTTTAAAACTGTTTCAAAAATCCTTTTTTTATACAGGTGATGTTGTTGATATGGAATCCCGTGATGACGACGAATTTGGTAACTATACACCTTGTCTGCTTTAATAACTCCGTTATTATTGGAGCTACAAAATGTTATTTTTGTGAATATTTCGTAAACCTAAAGTTATTTTTTTTTCTTTTATCACCATTTTAATAGAAAGAAAAAATGACATCAATTTAACAGCAGATAACTTTGGACACCCTGTATGTATGGTGTCCGTTATTATCCTCGTTAACTTTTCACTTGGGTATCATTTAAATTTTTACAATCTTAAAACAATTTGGAAAAAAAGTCGTTTAACCCTGCCTTTTTTAAATTTAAAGACGTAAGAAAAAATCATAATTCGCTAATAAATAAACATGCAACAACAAACTATTTTTAGACTGTACACAAATAATTTAGATAATAAGTACCCAAATGAAAAAAACAACCTATAAAATTTAAAAAAAATTTTTTTAAATTTCGACGTCTGTATTTTAAATAAAATGCATATTTCAATTTCAATAAAAATTACTATACCATGTCTTATACCTAAAGTAAATTCGAGTTATTAATTTGTTTAGTTAAAATTTGAGAAATGCAATCAAAAATAGCCTATAACTTTTTTGCTATTAGGTTTGCGAATGTGGGGGTGGGATTTTTGAGGTCTTAAAACATTGTTTAAAAGATTCCTTGTTAATTATTTAACATTTTTCAACAAATTACCCAAGAAAACCCTGTTTAACCCTACATAAATAGTAAATTAAAAAAGCTTTCGATTGATGTTACTATTCCTTATACCTACCTAAAGTTAATAATTTCAGAGATTTAACAATTTCTAAAATTTTAAATATTATTTTAAACCAAGAAACCTATGACGGGTGAGTTGACGGTATCTATGGTTACCACGTAATCTATCATATTTCAAAATTTAATAGGATTTTAAGATTCCAAAAATTTCACCCCCATATTCGCAAACTTTAGGTATTGGACATGGTATAGTAATTTTACTAGGAGTTTTATATATATTTTCAAAATGTAAAAATATATGGTGTGTTCTATTTGAAATAACAAATTTGATGTCACTTCCGCTAAAACCGGAAGTGCCATTTTGTTCAAAATATTTTAGAAAAATAGACTTAATTATAAACGCTTTTAAAATTTCAAGTCGATATATTTTTCCGTTCCCCAGAAACTTCTAATGGACCACGAATGTGAAACACGCTGTATAAGTAGCAATTTCTTACAAAAATATTAACTTTTTCTTTAACTTCAGAAAATAGTAAATTGTAAAACTAGTTACAATGACCCTTGTGATTGTGATACCGAGTTATTAGTTAGTACGAGTATAACAATAAGTCATTGTAACACGAATTTTTATACCATTTTGTCTATTTCTACCATAATTTATCAATAAAATTAAATACTTCTTTTAAAAACCAAGTAGTTTACTTAATGTTACTAGGTTGGCATAATTGACGTGAAGCGTAATGTCAAAATTAAATATTTACCCACAAAACTAGAAGTCTAGTTCTAGTTCTAGTTTTGTGTATTTACCTAATCTCTACTTATTTATTATTTATTTCACAAAACCTGAAGAACGAGTTTTTAACACATCGTTTACTTAAAAATTAAAAGGGTTGCCAACAGTCTAAAATAAAAAATCCATAATTTCGATGCTTCTGAGAAGCTCTTAGTAGTAGCACCCAAGGGTAGCACTTAAAACGACTCTTAGTAGCATCGATTTAGATAAAAACATTTTTTTTTCAAAAATGTTTTTTAATTGCAAAAAAATTAATATACTATACTATATATATTATACAAAATGATTCAGAAGTACTAATTAATTATAATTATAAGAGTCGTACATTTTAATTACTTTTAAATGATAAAATATGGTTCCAAACTTAGTCAATCTATTTTTTGAATCACACTGAATGGGCCTTTTTATTACAGCACTCAATAAAGAAACCCAAAAAAATCCAGGTCAAAAAGATGACGATGAAGGTATTTACATACAAAACAAATAAATAGGAGGGAAAATCCGCTACTGTGCCATGGTTATTATTTAGTATTCATAATTTAAAATTTAAAGTATCTTAATTTCTGAGGAAAATAAAGACTACATTCAAAAGATTTTTCTCCGTATCCAATGACTTGTCTTTCAATTAGGAGTCGACATATTTAAAGGGAATGCTTAAAATTACGTTTTTCTTTACCTCTTTAGTAATTATTTTGGTTTCAAAAGGAAGGTAAATTATTAAGTAAGCATTAAACAAAATATTGGTCTCCACTTTTCAATAATGCTATAATAATATTTATTGCTTACAATAATTTACATAATAAATTACAAAATAAATCACAATGAATATAAGAATTAAAAATAGGCAATAAATGGATTTTTAACAGTATATTTGTTGTCACTATAACATATAATTTTTACAACTAAATGCAGAACAAACCACCATTGTATTTTAATATTGAAACCGAAGTTTTTATTCATTTTTTAAACGAAAACACACATATCAACAAGTTGACACTGACAGTACGGCTCACACTTGGCATGCTTAACCTACAATACACAATAATGGGCATTACGTGACATTCTTTTAATGTCTGTGGTCTACTTAGATTGCAGAAAAAACGAATAAAATAACTTATGTTCCTGTGTTAATAACTTGTTAAGGAACCCTTTAAAATTAAAATTAGGATTCTAAGAATGTTTTAAGAAGTTTCATAAAAAAATTACGATTTCGCTTTTTAAACCAAGTGGTCAGTGTGGTTTTTTCCTCAATATATATTGTACCATTGTACAATTTTCTGATTAATCCTCTACTTTTACAGTTGCGTCATTTAATGACCCCACTATTCAATTGAACTTAGGAACAGATTACGATACGTACGAAGATTGCAGACTGCAGTTTCTGAAGGAAGAATTCCAAGTAAAATTGCGACAAATGCAGAAAAAGCATGAATTGGAGCTAAAGTTAATGAAAGAAGCTCACCTTCAAAAGATGGATTTACAAAGAGCCGAACACGAGCTCGAATTGGATATAAAGAAAAAGACGATTGAGCAAAAATTAAGCATCGAGCGGTCCGAACACGAAATAAAATTAAAGTTATTGGAGGTGGAACTAAGGAATAAAAAAAGGGATATATATGTATTTAAGAGGACATGTTAATTTTTTTTGTAAAATGTATTGTAAAATTATATATTACATACCTATCTTATTTAGGGTGTCCTTGAAATCTTTAACCATCTTGCCTGGAGTTTTTGGCCACCCTTTATAATTATTATGTAATAATTATTTTATGTATGAGTTAAGGCTGTTATTTAAATAACCGAGCCCAGCTTTTTGTATGGCCTTATTTCATCTTTGATGAATTTTAAAACCGAATAAACTCAATAAAAATTGCAAAAAATGTAGGTATTTCTATTCATTCCGAAATGCCTTTATGAAAATCCTTCGCGGCATAATTTCATATACGGTTTCAAAAAGCATTTAAATTAAAAAAGCATTAATTTAATGATTTTTTGCTTTTTGCACGCATGTAGCGGAAAAAAGATTACATTTTGCAAACAAAAGCTGTATTTTATTAGGTACTCTTTTTAAAACTCATTACTTTCACAATTCATTTTCAATGCAAAGCAATCAAACAAAAATCAATACATGTTCCTCAATACATCAAAGGACGCTGTATTTTTATTGTAAACGTCAACATATTAAAAAAGCACTTTTTGTTTGGTTAAAAATAAAAACATTTATGTGCAGTTTTTTTAAATATTTAACTTTTGTAAATATGCGAAAATATAAATTCCTTTAATTGAATTTAATTTAATTGAATCTATCACACCGTAGCTACGCTGTGATAGATTTTTGATATAAATGTTTCAGAGCTGGGCCCGAGTACTAAAAAAAAGTATTCGTGAAATTTTAAGTACTTGTAAAGAGAGGTTACGGTTACGAGTAGTAATCGTAAAAACACGAGTAAAGAGTACGAGTACCCAACAAATCTAAAAGTTATGTAGGTACTAAAAAATACCTCCTTTTTTCCACTTAAAAAAAAAATTGGAAAATCGATCAGTATACATATATAAATTTATTTTTCGATTCCTTGTAAAATTCTAAGCATAAATCATATAACATACAACCGTTTCTGAAATATTCGCATTTGAAACGTTATCATCAATTTTTTTTTTACAAATCAAGAAGCCTTAGAATAACACAATGTTTATTGAAAATAAATAACTATAGAGACATTATGTCAGTGGCGGCTCGTCAGGGTAGGCCTCTGAGGCCGCGCCTCACCCTTAAAATGAAGGAACCAACGACTTTTTGTATTTATATTTTTGCCTATTACAAGTGTATTTTTACAACAGTTCTACCCAATAAAAAGTAAAAAACCAATCAATCATATTAAGCGTAAATAAAAATCCAGGCGCAAAGCGCGTCAAGTTAACGTGCATCGTTGAGACGCCAGACGGAGGCGAAATTTTCACAGCCTCGGAAGCTCCCATTTACCTCTTGAAAGCGAAAATGACTCACCAACAAAAATATCGCCGTAAGTTCGCGAATAAACACCGTAGATGAGGCGATATTTAGTTAGCTTGGTTTGTTCTGATTGGTGGTCCGTTTATGGTGGGATGCCAGCGGAGACAAAGAAGGTTGCCAGTCTTCTCTTAGCGTTTGTAGAGCACGTTATTGTTTTGATTCAGATTAAATTATTTAAAACTTTTGGCTGATCTTTTATAGTTTTTGTCTCGATTAGTAAAATTTCTTATTTAATTATTGTAGGGAACACACTAAGGTAGATTTAGCAGTTTTTATTAAGCAAATTTTATATTGTGAAATAATAGATTGCATAATTCTTCAATTAGAGACGCGGTTTGAAAATTTAGAATTACTTTTAAATCTCACTGCAGACCCACAATTTTACGACCAAATAATAGATAAATTTTCAATCTTAAAAGATAGACGTATAGTATTTTATATTTTTTAATACTTGGGTAGGGGTCGACTTTTTAGTTTTATTTTTTGATTAATTTATTTATTTTTAACTTTTTTAAGATTATATTTTAAGTTTAAGATTAAAACTAGTCTTTAATGTGATATTTTGTTTGTTTTGTTTTTTAGAGTTTATTTTTTGGTTTAGTAGTGCTATCGGCTCCATTTTAAAAAAGGTCAACGCGTCGCAGAATAATACCTCCCGGGTGACGTGGAAATTTATTCGTATTTAGACAAAATTAACCTTATGTAGCCTCACCCTCCTGTACACCCACGAGCCGCCACTGCATTATGTCAATATGTCTTGTTAAGTAAGTAAAAATTGCGTACTCAGACAGAGAAAGAAAAACTATTTTAACTTAACTTATAAATTATGCTTAGAATTTTACAAGGAATCGAAAAATAAATTCATATACAGGGTGATCTATTGAGCAAAAATAATTTTTTTGTTTTTTCCTGTATATTGATCAATTTTCCAATTTTTTTTTATACGTAGAAAAAAGTATTTTTTAGTACCTACATAACCACACTTTTAAATTTTTTGAAGTTTGTGGAAGTGCTGTAGATTTCGAAACTAAAGACAAATCTAATCAATCAATTTAATAATATATTTTGGGGAGTAATTCTACTCGTAAAAATAAAAGAAAAAGTTTCTATAAACAGATGTCCGAAAATGGCTCCTACACAGTAAAAAAAATATTTGTTAATTTTAACCAAATAATAACCAGATTTTATGTTAATCCAGGTCAACATAACTTTATGTTAAGTTTGCAACCAACTGTAAACTGTAAACTAATTGAATAAGTAGTTTGTAATTATAACAAACATTTTGTAGATTTAATAACATAATCCTATTTCAGTAATTCAACCATAGTTCTTGTAATTTTTAAAATGGAACTTATTTTTACAAACATTTTCGTAGACCCAGTAACAAAAGTATTTGTTGGAAATTGGGAATTTAAATGAAAATAATTTTGATATAAAAAGTGGCTTTTTTAATAAATTTCCTAAACAAAAAAAATAACACTTACCTACATAAATGAACACAAAGATAACATACACACAATTAAATACCACACCATCAGTGGCGGATTTACCAGCAGGCTGAGTAGGCTCGAGCCTAGGGCGGCAGATTTTGGGGGCGGCAAATTTTTTTTTTTTTACCTCATAGAAATCAAAAAGATTTTTCTATGACGGTTTTCTGATGTCTTACAGATAGAAGTCTGCAATAAATTTTGTCGATGACTTTTCTCTCTCACTTGTCATTGCACATTCCGAGAGTAGCAAACTTCCATATACTAGAGTAAAACAGCTACTTCGCCGCCCCTCAACCAGTAATCGGCCTCTCGCCTCTGCGCCCTTTGCCCACACTTCTTATGAGTGAAAAGAGCGAAATTGTAAAAAATATGCCCCTCTTCCCACTAACAACCCATACATGCCAGTCTTACTACTGGTTGGAGGCTACGAACTGGATGGTTTGTATATAATTTTTCGATTTTTATTCGAATATAATGAATAATTTAGTGAATAATTTTACCAATTTCAATTTTATGTATCGACTATTATGTGTTTCACATGCACTAGTAGCTTCAGAAAATTTGATTGGAATTCAAAAAAAATCTTGAACAGTAATAGCGAGATAGTCTTAAGTCAAAAAAAATATTTTTTCCCCGAACTGACTTGACTGAGTCGATTATTTTTAACTATTTGAAAGCGCAATAAAGATTATTTATTCACGTTTACCAAATGTTCATTATTGTGTAAATAGCATACATTACCCCGCCCATACATGATTGAGTTTCGATTAGCTCAAAAATATACCGAAAAATTATTTTACGTGCAATTTCAACGAAATTGTTGCATTGTAAAAATAATGAATGATATGACAATTGTTGAGGCAAGGGCGGCAAAAACTATTCAGCCTTTACCTTGAAAATTTGTAAATCCGCCACTGCACACCATTCTGAAATCACCAAATTGTAAAGTAATTTGGTACAATATAATTATCAGTACTAAAACAACACTTACTGATGTATTTCGTAACTTTACAGTTAAGTGAGTAAAGTCTTTACCCACTTATCTGTATCCCCTAATTTTAGTTTGAACTTGTCGATGCGCATTGTCAGTGGAAAATGTTTTTATTGACTGCCTGAAATCACGTGAACTTTTTCATCTAAATAATTTCAATTTTAACATTTTGAACAAACCGATACTAAAATATATTATATAATATATATGTACTTATACGTAAATCGAAATTATTTAAATTCATCCCAAACAGTCCTTCAAAACATTAGGGGAGGATTTTCTCCCCTCTAAATATTAACTGCATAAATCTTCAGCGTTAATATTTCATGCCGTCGAAAACATATGGATTAAACAACCTTGATTCATACTCACTTTAAAAATCAATTATTGGCTAGGATCCTAGATAGTCACATCGACTGCTATAATTTATTAACACATTTCAGGACAAACATTTTTCTTAAACTTTCTGGCAAACAAAATTTGTATTTCCATTAGCCTATTCCATGTATTTATTTGGTTAAAAATGTTACCTCATATAAGTGTAATGGGTACATAGATAATTTAATAAATCCGGAAATAATAAGAAAAACTAATAATAACTTTTTTACGCCCTGTGTCCCAGGATAATGTTCAGAAACCCCCGATCATTTCTGCCAAAATAAATAATAATATTCGAACGCGTTTAACTATATTAATATAAGGAACATTTACCTAATAAAAAGTTGTTTGTTTTATAAGGCTAAGAAGTAAGTCTTTTTATGCTGAGCTCAAAGTTTGAGCGAAGCACGAAAATACACTTCCCAGCCCCATAACATGCAACATTTTATCTTCAAGGCATAAATAATTTTATTTGTGAAACGATTCATAAAACATACAATTTTAATCATAATTATTAAAAGTGAGGTTAGGTAAATCGAATTTTTTTATTGGTCAAAACGGTTTTTTTACAGACTAGGAGGTAAAAAACTTTACCCGATTGATCTAAATTATTTTTACAGCCTAGGCGATAATCAATCACCAATGGTGATTTAAGTTTAAATTAGGTAAGTACAATTTTAATCATAATTATTAAAAGTGAGGTTAGGTAAATCGAATTTTTTTATTGGTCAAAACGGTTTTTTTTACAGACTAGGAGGTAAAAAACTTTACCCGATTGATCTAAATTATTTTTACAGCCTAGGCGATAATCAATCACCAATGGTGATTCACCATAGTGGTTAGATTTAAGTTTAAATTAGGTAAGTATGTAAAATTGAAATAAATTAAGTCAATTATTTTGTCATACTGCAAAATTTCGATTTTTTTCTATATTAAAACATTTAAATTCTAATAAGTATGCGAGTATTTTTTAAATGTATCACAAGCAGAAATGGTAATTTTTTATTCAGT